AACTATTTAAAACTGCATTAAAGTTAGCTAGTGAAGGAAACTATTCAATCAGTAAAACCTACATCCCAACATTATCTGCCCATTATTAAACAGGTAATTCCTCCATAAGATTCCTATATTATGGTATTTTAAAGCCAAGTATGAAAAAGTATCCTAGGATTCAAGACTGACACATACATAGTAAGAGCAAACATTTCAAAGAATGATTTTAAATTATTTTACATTAAATCTCATTACTCCACAAGGAACCCACATCAACTACCATAAGAAAGATAACAGAGGGACTGGAGAGATGGCTCAGTGGTTAAGAGCATTGCCTGCTCTTCCAAAGGTCCTGAGTTCAATTCCCAGCAACCTCATGGTGGCTCACAACCATCTGTAATGGGGTCTGATGCCCTCTTCTGGCCTGCAGGCATACACAGACAGAATATTGTATACGTAATAAATAAGTATTTTTTTAAAAAAAGAAAGATAACTAGACTGAAAACATCTTCCTAGCACTCAGATGGCAGAGAGAAAGGTGGATCTACGGGAGTTCAAGGCCAGCTGGTCTATACAGTGAGTTCCATGCCAGCAAGGGCTACATTGTAAGATCCTGTGTCAAAAAGAAAAAGAAAGGAAAACAGGCATAACATCTAAATTACACATGACAGCTTTTAAAAATAAACCTTAAAAGCTTAACCCAGTATCTCTACCACACTGTTCAACACTGTAAATAAACTTCCAACCTTATAAAGTAAACTTCCACTTACACACAAGTTATAGACTGGTGTTTCCTTAACATAGAGGTTAAGGTTTGAGTTAACCGAGGCCACTACCTATTCATAATCTTAGAAGTTTTCTACTAGGTATTAATTTGGATAACACTAATAAAACAGAAATGGATGTTTACTTTTTTAACCCAAGATTAAAGGTAAGTTTTCTGACATCAAGCCAAATCACCAACCCCTACCATCTTTCAGAATCACATTACTTTTTAACGTAATGAAAATCTGAAGCTCATTTCAAAGACATTTGTTTACTGGACGCTTGTTCAGTGTATCTGCTGACACTTTCCTCTGCCTCTTAAGACTACAGTGGAGACAGAAGGGGAGTTTCCTAACTCATTATTTACTCATTCATTCATCATTTATTTTGATGGCCAAAATAGATAAGTAAGTATTTCAGTACAGAACCCAATACTTAAATGCTATCACTATAACTACTGGACAAATATGCCAGTACAAAGTCTTCCCCCACCCTGAAATACTTAAGTACATAGCATGAACATACTATTTCACACTCCAGAAACTAAAATATGCTTACCTTTACTCCACAGGAGTAAATCACTGGCAGTAGCAACTATTAGAGCAATGGATAAATACACACAAGACATGAAAGTAGGCTGCGTAGTCAGTCTTCCTATGGTGAGCATTGTTTCCAGCAAATAGATCAGAAAACCAAGTAAAAACGTGTTCTATTACCTGAGACCACACTGTTGGAAGTAACAGAAACAAATCCCAGGCCTCCTGCGTCAGTTTGGTGTCCCATCTACTATAACCCCAAAGCACAGCTACAGCAAATCAACTAACCAGTTCTGCATCACTCCATTTGTTAACATGCACGTTCGAAGCATACAGCCCTAAGTGAAATGGGAGAGTCATTCTGTTTGTTTTCTTATGTTCTCAGGCATGGCTTCTAACATCACCTAAAGCTAAAGATCATCAGTTAGTTATCTTTCCTGGTGGCCTTAAGTCACAGCAAAATGGACTGTGAGGGACATACATACACAATCTAACAATCTAACTACAGAGGTACATATGAGATGTCTTCTATACCTCAGACTACCCAGGCTAAATTACTGAGACTACATATGCATGTATACAAGGTGTCTCTTCAGCTCAAGAATTTGTCCAAGTTTAAGACACCGCCTCAAAAACAAGCATTTGCATGCCTATTATCTCAGATCCTGAGAGGCTGAGTGTGAGGAGGAGTCTGGTGATTTTTAGACCAGCCTGGGCTAAAAAGTGAGATCCTGTCTTGAAAAACAACAGACTGAAATTGTAACTGACAATCCAGTCTAATCCCAGGCCTGTATATTCCGTGTCTCTCCTAACAGATGAAGAATGAGCCTACTACTCCTAGACGGGAGCATGGCTCAGGAACAGAACATTCGCCCACACAGTTCCATCTCCATTATGGACGAGGAAAACATTGAATGTTGCTCCCCTAAATTTGGAGCTTCAGTTTCTACAATTTTACCCCTGCAAAGGTTCCAAAGCGAGTAAACACGGAGACCCACCTACTTACAGTCCAGGCCTGTAAATCCAATCCTACTAAATCAAAAGGCCAGTAAATCTGGCATGAGGCAAATCTGAAAATATTGGTTTTTCAATGTTCAAACTGTCCCAGAAACACTGGGGTTTCTAACATATCCTCCAACATTTCAAACAAAAACATGTGGGAGTCCCTTCCCAAAAAGGAGAGAACTAAGGACCTCTAAGAAGAATCCCACTCAAGCTCTCACACTAATGGTAACAACACCGTGACACCGCCCTGACCATCTTATACTCACAACTCAGTCAAACTGTTCTATTTGTCACTCAACCCCACCTCCAATGTATCTAACCTGGTAACATTGTCTATAGTATTCCAGGTTCCCAACAGTCTTTACATTTTGAAAACTGTCCCCATAGCTTACAACATGGCATGCACATGCACATTTCCCCAGACACCACCTACTCCCACAAGAACTGAGACACTGAAGAGTGATTTTACACACCGCATTTATTGTGTGTGTGTGTACGTGTGTGTGTATGTATATATATATATATATAAAGTTGTAGATATTAAAGTGGCTAACAAGATAGCTCAACAGGTAAAGGCACTTGCTGCTGTGTCTGAGACCAGAGTTCAATCCTCAGGACCCACATTATAAAATGAGGACAGACTCTCACCAGTTTTCTTTGATTTCCACATAAGCACTGACAAACAAATCTAACATCAAAAACAATCTTAAAGGTGAACTCGGCCATTTTACTATGGTAATAAACCACTGTTGCCAAATCCCTGTGAAATAAGGACTCTTCTAAAAATAATTATTCATTTTCATATGCAAAGGTATTAACCACATCAAATAATGAATTCATCTTTAAAAATATTTTAGGAGGAAAAGCAGGAACAGTGAATGGCATCTACCTACAGCCCCTACCACTTGAGATGGAGACAGGAATACTAGGTAAAGGCCAGTCTAGGCACATAGACCATGTCTCAAAAATAGTATTTCAGGACAAAATCTCATTTTAACAGGAACTGCACACAGCAGTGTTTAAGAAATGAACTTTACATGATTTTTAGCCTACTAACCAGTCTCATCTTCACTATAGAAACTATTATTTATATAACTATATAAACTGGTGAGGAAGACAGAGAAACACAGGATTATATACACAGGCACCAAAAATGTAATGTTTAAGCATCTTGATTGTTTTGTTCAGAAAGTTTAGCATCTGCAACAAAATGGAGTTGGATAAATGTACAATTATCAAGTCAACTTAGAGAAAGAAAGGAGGGATGGGTGAAGAGGATAGAAGGAGATCATGGCCACATAGGGGCAACACACCTCTAGTCCAAGAAAGAGACTTGTGAAGTGAAGAAACAAGCCTCCTAAGCCTGGGCAACATAGTAAGACTGTCTCCAGAACAAAGGTTGGAGGGTAAGAATGCCTTCGAAGTGTTTCTGAAAAACCTACCACTTCAAAAAGTCTGCCAGTGGAGAACTGGCCATCACATGAAATGCTCTGTAACACTGACAAAAGTTACCCAACTTTCTCCAAATGACCACAGAAAGCTCTACACTATTTGCTACCAAACAAAGGAGCCAAGATAATTCTTTTAACAGTGAAAACAATGACCTTCAAATCTAAAGATCAATACAACTTACTACACACAATTAACAATTACATAAGGTTCAAAGAGAAGACGAATGTAGTTAAATTTTAATTTGACATTATTACCTAGTTAACTAACTATACCCAGCAGGCACCAAAATATAAGGTTCATCCAAACATCATTATTTACTATGTCTCATTCAGACCCCACCCAGTCTTTCGCACATTAGTCTACTTTACCTCCAACTTAAAACTGGGCAGTTATGAGTAGATGAGAATAGTTAAAAAATAAACCCCATATAAAATTTAATATTTTCAAAATAATAGACATGGTCTGTAAAGACAGACATAAGGCGGTGTACTGGCTTTTTAACCTCCAATGGTGAGACACAGCCCAAGAAAATTAAAATATGAGCCTGAGGGCAGAGACTGACATTTTAGGAGGGAGAAGTGGGATAAAAAGAATGCTCAACCTACCAGCCTCCAAAGGGAAGTCATGCAAATGTGAACACATGTCAACCAACTGTAATTAACATTCCAGCCAAATCACACTGAAAATAAAAGATCTGGTAAGAGCTGTAGTGGGAATGCCACATTTAGCCCACCTATGTATAATACAATCAATGCTTAAAGTGTTTATATTGCTGGTGAAGATATAGGACTTTGCATAAAGCACAGTAATATACTTAAGGAACTGTCTATTTGACAGACTACTTCAGTATAACATGCAAGACATTTCAACACACAATATTTTTATCAAGTAACCTTTATATTTAGCTTTAAGCTTAGAATTTAAACAAAAAAATATTTCAACCTAATAAAAACTAAATGAAGTACAGTAACTTTTCTGCTTGCCCATATTTAAAAGAAAAATTACTAATTACATTTAGTTTAGGTTGGTCAAATTGTCATATCATGCATTACCACAAACCATATACCACGCAATGGCATCAATTTTGCCCAGATTACTTAGGATATCTAGAAAGTCTTTATAGCCCAGGTACAAGACTCATCCTAGTGTATTAATGTCTAAAAATCTCCTGGGACTCAATGGGCAACTAAATTATAGAGCCTCTGCATGTTATGACTACTGAAATCTTTATAAGACAGAAATAAAATTTAAAAGTTTTACCATTCTTCCCGCTGTGCCGTCGCTGCTTCAGTGTGTCGTGGGGAGGAGTTTGAATGGCTAGGGAATTAACAACCGGTACAGCAACCAATCAAAATTCTAGTTTTAGTTTTTGACATTGTTAGGGTTAAAAACTAATTCATTTATACGTCAGTTCAACAAAAAATAACTACAAAGACAGCTAGCTACTTTGTAACTTTCAAAACTCAGGGGTAATAGAAAGCCTGCCCCAGTTACACAATTAACCATTTTGGTGCCTCTGTCCAAAGAACAGAATTCAGAAAGCAAAACCCAAAATGTTAAAAACTTAATTCTTCAAATAATTAACAGTTATTCCTTTTCTAAAACTAAGCCACATTACCATTCAAGATTAGTTCTGTTTAAATTCACTTCCCCTCCCACCAATTCCCCACTAAAGCCAGTACAACCAGTAGCTGACTGAAGAGTGTCAGTCTTGACTGAGATTTTTAAAAACTATATTCCAAGTACTTCTCTGCTGCCCCAACACCCCTACAAATCTTAAACTCTTAACCACTAAAGGAAATCATGTTTGCTAATACCAGGCTTAAATGACTTATATCCCACCGAAACTTTTTCTTTATATAGTGTAAAAAAATTGCATACGCACAGCCCCATTATTAAAAAAAGTATCGAAACGGTAACTCAGATCAGCAATTTATAATGGGAACATGAAAATCTAAGGACCCGGATCCATCCCACCTTCCTAACCTCCTGTGTTTTAACATATTAAAAGCAGCTTTTGGTGGCAATACAAAAGTTACTTCAATTAGAGGAAGCAGATTAGCACTGAAAAAATCCTGAAAAATTAACCCATTGAACAACACAGAATTTATTGTATTTTAAAGGGCGAGTGGGCTTCTTTCAACAATAGTAAGAGGGCGAGACTGAGAAGAAACCAAAACAGGCTCCTGGGCACTGAAAAGGCGGGAGAGAAAATCTTAAGTTGCACAGAGTAAGTAAGGAAAGACTACGATCTGTACAAATAGGCAACCCTGAAGGCGCGAAAAGGGTGCACAGCAGAGTAACTTGGCAGAATGGGGGAAGGGCAACCGCAGGCAGGAGGTAGAAGAGCCCCAGTCAAGTGCAGGCCCCATCGACCACAAGGACTTAAATGGAGCCCGAGGAGCCAGACCAACGCGCCATCAGGAAGGAGACCGGGGGCATCGGCAGGCCCAGTCTGTCTACAGCACAAATGCAGGGCCTGGTGTGAGCGTGCCGTGGGGTCGGCGTACAGTGGACAGAACGAACGCGTCCTAAGGCGAAACTTATTTAAAATGCTAAAAACCACTGGCCTGAAGCCGACGCGGGAGAAAGAGAGGTGGACAGCCTACACCTTCCTGAAAGCAAGAGCGGATAAATAATCGCGCCGTCTCGGGGTGGTGGTGAAGCACCCACCCAACCTCGGAAAGCCTAGTAAAAAGCATTCTGTGCGTTTGCATTTTTAAGTCTAAGAGGTTAGAAATCCGGGAGAGATGGCGGGGGGTGGGGGGGTAGCTCCGTCAGGCGGGAAAAAATCCTGGCGGCTAAGTCGGTGGGAGGAGACCCACGGCGAGGGAGGAAAGAGGGCGGGCCGCGGAGTAGCATGGTGACGGCTAAAGGTGGAAACGTGTGTGATGGGGGAGGGGGCGAGCAGGCAGGGAAAGAGGAAATGCAGGCCCCGGGGAGCCCCAGGTACAAGAGGGGCGGCCGGGCGAGCAGGCCGTGGCACTCGGGCCTGCGGGCGGGCGGGCGCGGGAGCGAGGCCTAATGGCGGGGAGGGGGAGGGGGCCTGGCGAGCGGCTGCCCGGGGCCGCCCCTTACTCACCCTTCATCCTCCTCGTTCTTACTGGCGTCGATCTTCGCCCCCTCGGCCTCGGCGCTGCCTCCCTCGGTGCCTCCGGCCGCGGAGCCGCCGCCGCTCCCGCTTCCCGCCGCCGCTGCCCCTGGCGCCGCCGCCGCCGCCACCATGGCTCCCTCCTGCTCGCCCGCCGAGCCGCCTACCGCCGCCGTGGCCGCCGCCGCCGCCCCGTCCCCTCCGAACTGCTCCTCCGACATAGCGCTGCTGCCGCCGCCGCCGAGACGACACCCGCCGCCGCCGCCGCGAACCGAAACTAGCAGCAAAGTGATCCCCGCCGCCGCCGCCGCCGCCGCGCGTCCGCTCTACCTCGCGAGGCACACAAGACAAGGCGCGCGCGTGGCTGCAAGGGCTCCGGCGCCTCGTCCCCGGCCTGCCCCCCTCGCCTCCCGCTCTCGCGCGGCGCGCACTCGCACTCTTCCCCCGCCGGCCGCGCTGGAAAACGATGAAGGCGCAGCGGCGGCCACTCTCGCCTCCTCCTCGCTTTAATGGCGCCGCCGCGGACCACCTAAAATGGCCGACGGAAGAACGGCGCGTCCCGGTCACGTGACGCCGGAGTGCGCCCTTCGCGCCTCCTCCGCCCCTTCCACCGCGAGTCCCCACCCACCCGCCGCCCCCTCCCCTCGCGGGCCCGCCCCTCTCGTTCCCTTCCCCGCTCGCTCTCACGCTCCTCCGGCGCGCCGCGCGGGCCTTTAAAGGGAACCGGAAGTGGCGCGCCGGAGAGGGGCGCGCGGCTACCATCGAGAACAAGGAGCGCTGGTTCGGGGCCGCGGCTAGAGAGACCCCCGCGTCCCTTGGCCCCGCCCTTCCGCGGATTCCTGGAGTCCCTCGATCCTCGGCCGCGGCTGGCCCGGGACAGCCGGCCCGGAGGGGTGTGGCTCGGCCACCTCCCCCGCGGTGGCTCCAGTCTCAGCGGCTGCGGCCCGGGTGGCCTGCGTGAGACGGTGGCCACGCGTGTGCCCTGCTCGCCGCGCTCCTCCGCCCGTCGTCCCCGCCTGCTCCGGGTGACATTGAGGTTCCGCCGCGGCGCCGGCTGCTGGCTTAAGGCCGCTGGCGGCCGAAGCTGCTTTTTCTCAGAATTCCTTCCCAGCTCTTAACGCTTTACTTCCGTTACTAGAAGAGCCGAAAGCCGGCCACGATTCTTTGAAGTTCCTAGGGGTTGGGAAATGTGTTAAAGACGACGCCAGGGTTCGTATTTTTAATGATTCCAGTCTTTGTATTAAGTAGGATATATAAATGTCATGAATCATCTTTACAAGATTTCTAAGTCTGCGGTGTTGCGGTGGCGATTTTATAAAAAGAAAAATGAAACACTGTTAGGTGTATGGTTCAGGATTTAAAAATCATTCGTTAAGAAACCTCGTAGAATTCCTATTGAGGAGTTGGGCTTCACAGTTTCCTGCAAGACTCTTAGCAGAAAATGGGACTGCTATATACTGACCTCAGCCACTTGACTGCCTACTAAGTGTCCAGACTGGGCTTCCCAAAACTCAGGAGGAAGAAGAAGGATGGATTGTTGAGGCCAACCTGGAATTAACGCCTTTGCAAAACACATCAAAAACATTGAAGTAAATGCTTCCCATGGGGTACTTAATCAATATAGAGTTACTATATAATCAAAATATCCCAAAGAGGAAAACAAAAGGTATATTACCATAATGTTACAAAATTATTCAAATAAGAGTCAAATTTGTGGAAATACCTTTAAAATACAATCTTATAAGACTTTAAAGCAGATTACAGAATGGCAATGTCAAGACTGTTAAGAAGTAGAAGTGATTGCACGTTTGTCTCCACTTTCCAAATATTAGCCAAATAGGCGGCTTTGTACTCAGGTCAAATGTTGCAGATTGGTGGCAAATGGGATGAACGCAAAGGTTTTTATTTTTTGGCTTCAAGAGAATTATTCCTTTGGATTCAATGACAGGCCTACTTCTTACTGACTGTGGCAGTTTGAATGAGAACAGACCCCATAGGTTCATATATTTGAATGCTTAGTGCCCAAGGGGTGGAACTGTTTGGGAAGGATTAGAAGGTGTGAGTTTATTGGGGATGTGTCCTTGGGAGTTTGGGACTTCAAAAGGCCACACTAGACCTGGTGCCTATTTCTACTTGCTGCCTGTGTTTTTTTTCCAGTGCCACGCCTGTCTACTTTCCACCTTGACGACCTTGGACTAATCCTCCAAAATTTTAACCAAGCACCAAATTAAATACTTTTCTCTACCTGTTGCCTAGATCATGGTGTCTCCTCACAACAATAGAGCAGAAAGTCCGTCTTAATTCACAGGCAGCCCTGTAGTTGAATTTGAGTGATTCAATCTGATTATGGTCCAAATGTCTGCCTCGCTTTGTGAATGCTAGGAACTGAAACCAGGTCCTCTGCCGGAGCAGCATGTGCTCTTCAGTGCTGAGCCTTCCTTCCAGACCCAAAGCCAACTCTTACCCAAAGGGTTCATGACCCACAGGTTGAGAACCACTGCCCGGAAGTAAGTGGAGGAAAACACCAAACACTAAGCTTAGGACATGTTGCCAAGGCAGAAGGGTTTGGCTGAGGAAGGAGTGTGCTTGCTGCTTAAGTGAACAGTGGAGGCCAGTGTGGCTGAAGAGAAGGGAGGAAAGAAGGTGCAGTGATTCATACCTCGGAGTGATTCAGGAATGAGGTCACCCAGAGCCTTGTAAGCGTTGCTTTTATTTTTAAAGTTATGAGAAAAGTGAAGGGTTTTGAACAGATGAAAGATGCCAACTTCCTTAAACTTTAAATAGGTCATTTTGGATGCTTTGTAGACAGTACAATGTGGGAAGGCATCAGGAAGGTGAATTAAAGGATTGCTGTCATAAGTTGACTATTTTAGCCTCTTGGATGATTTCTTCTGTCAGGAAACAAATCTACAAAAACAATATTATTTACATGTGACTTAATTTTTCTGAATGCTATTTTCTGCACAGAGAAACACATTTTAATGACATTGGTCATTAAAAATAAAACTTAAGGGTACTGGTAGCACACACGTTTAATCCCAACACTCAGGAGGCAGAGGCAGGTGAATCTTTCTTTGAGTAAAAGGCTAGCCTGACCTATATAGTGAGTTCCAGGCCAGCCAGGGCTACATAGTGATACCCTGTTTAAACAGAAGAAGAAGACTTACAGGACTAAGTTGCGACTCGGTTGGTAGAGTGCTTGTCTAGCATGAATGAGGCCTGGGTTCATTCCCAGCACTACATAAAACGGGAAGTGCTGGCACACAGTCTGCAATCCCAGCACTTGGAGGATGGAGGCAGGATTCTCAGAAGTTACACTGAATTCGAGACCCTACCTCAAATAAATGAAGAAATAAGTACTTGTACCCAAAATAAGTACTTGTACCCAGTGTTCAGAAGTGTGCTTGCTATCCTAGCGACTCTGGGGGCTGAGGCAGAAGGAGCATGTGACTTCATGAATTTGAAACCAATCATCAGAATTTATACAAACATCTTGTCTTCAAAAAAAATAATAAAACTGAGCACAGTGTGGCTGCAAGACCTACATAAGACTGTCCCCATTATGTCCTGACAAATGGAGATGGCGCTTCATTAACCTCTCCCCTTCCTGAAGCGGTTAAAGGGTGCTAGGGGAAAGAGCACTATATTCCTCAATGGTGTAGTCACTGGAAAGTTGCTCTTGTTTGGATAAATAACCTTCCACCCATGCTCGTGCAAGCAATTCTAATTAAATGCAGCACACACATACATTCACACATATATCTACACACACAGAGACATATACATTCACACATAGACATAGTATGGTGCGGGACAATTGTCTGTATTCTGTCAATCATATTTTGAATAAATGCTGATTAGCCAGGCAGGAAGTATAGGTAGATCAACCAGACAGGAAGTAGAGGCAGGGTGATGAGAACAGGAGAATTCTAAAAAGGAGGAAGCCCATTCCTCCCACTCCTGCCCAAACTCCAAAAAAGCAAGATGTAAGCTGCCCCGCTGAA